ATACAATGGATTAATGGGACACAGAGGCACATCTACAACTTACATTTATTCTAATACAGTACTTGTTAATGTTTTACAATGTGTTTTGGTATTTCTATTTCTACAATACGTGGCTTTGTTTATTTAGCTTCTAAGGAAAATCCAGCACTTAAACTACTACATTTTGGCATTCGCAACTTCTCTTGCAATTATTTGGATTAATATCAATTATGATATGGAAGAGCCCTTTTTTTCTTGTATAATTTGATTTATCCACACTTTTACAAGCATTTTTGACTAGCCACAAGGACCATGTGCTATGAAGCAGAGCAGAGAAAGTGTTTTTGTTTGGCCCTCATTTATTTTAGTCCCAACACATGTCTCTGACTCACAGCTCGCAGTCTGTTTCTGTTTGTGCAAGTGCTCTGCTGGTCTAATTTCTGGAGATGTTTCTGTTTCCCCAACCCAGTCTGGACCAGGGATAGACAGGGAAGATGCATCTAAACCATAGACTGTAAATATATCTACACATCAAAATGTATTATAGGATATTGTGGGAAGTGTTTCCGATTTTACTGACACTGTTGTACTTTGTCCTCAAGTGACGGAGTTCCCTTATCTCAGGTCTTGTTCACGATGGATCGGTGCAGCGTTTGCAGTGATGTGGACGCTGTATCGGATTGTCTTAGTGGAGAGGGAGCTGAGTCGCGAGGTCTCAATTTACCGGCCAATCTATGTTCCCAACCTCAGCTATGGTCATGAGCTTTGGGTAATGTCCAAAAGGATCCGGTCGCGGATACAAGCGGTCAAAATGAGGTTCCTGCAGAGTGGCTAGGCTTCTATTTGCATTTGGAGGTGGTCATATTGTTTTGCCTGGTGACATTTATGAAATTCAGCTACTTTGTTACTGCTGGCTATGAGGTTTATGGTCACTATTTTAAAGTCCAGCCCCATTATGTGCATCTGATGGAGGTAGCCCTTTATTGAATTGGTTGGTAGCTTTCTCTGTGTATATTAGATTAAACCTGGAAGTGTTTTGTGGCTGATTTAGCATAAAGCGACAGAAGTTTTTGTTTCCTTGGCCAAAGCTAAAGTGGAGTGAGGGGGACTTTTAGTATCAATGTCAATCAACCTCACACTAGATGGGGCCAGGCTGCTGCTATAAATGCTGCTCAGCTTTCCAGTTTTCAGAATATAAAACCGATACAAGGGTTAGCAGTAGCCGCTGTAAAAGTACATACGGGTACTTCACTTTATACAGTACTGCATTATCTTTGTTGACACCACATCTGCATCGCCTATGACATTTACTACTTGTGTATGAATTGTGCTATATAAATAAACTTGCCTTGCCTTGCCTTGCCTACTACAGTGGATCAAAGAAAGATTATTTTATGTTACAAAAAAACCAGCAAAAATCTGGATATTAATTATTATTTTTTTGTCTATGCCTGGTTGTGCTCTTTGAGAATATGCCTGAACAACAGCTATGGCCTCTGACTGGCTGCTCCAGTGTCAATGTCACTGTTTATCAAAAATAATTGTGTAATTCTGTGAGCTTCATGAAAAACACAAACCCCAATTTGATGTCTCTCATGTTCATGTTCATTAACCACTTCCACTTCATGTTGCTGGCCCTGATCCAACCCTCACGTTTCTCTGTGTGTCGACTAATTATATTATGATTGACAGTTTGCGCTTCATTTTAATAAGCTCTTTTGTCATGTGTTGTATTTAGATTCAGTGAAAGAAACTGTACAGCCAAAAAAGTGAAACATTTTCTAATTAAGGCAGTCAGCAGCTTTCACCCAGTTAGGAACGCGATTCATAGTAGGAAATGTTGCACGAAATGTTGCAATCTCAAGAAACTATTCTGAAAAGAGATGCTTTACCCTATCCATCTCCTGCTTCACCTGTTGACTCTTGCTTGCGGCATGACTACGAACAGAAAAGATGGTATTCTCTCTGAGTGGAGAGATGTTGAAGACAGAGATGGATGAGAGACGAGATGAAAAATGGTTCAAAATGTCCAAAGATCAAACTAAGAGTGAAGGCGACAAAGAACGCGTCAGAGAGTGATGGGGAAGGAGGCGGGAATCGATATTTTCTGACAGAAGCGGCCGACAGGTGAGTGGGAGAGACGGGTGAGAGAGAAGTCATAACAGGGTACAAGTGATGGACAGTTAAAGGGGAGGGCAAGAATAAGAAAAGGATAGTCTGACATTAGACATTATTTAAAACATCAAATGTTGGCTCAACTAGGTCTGCACATTGTTGTTCATATACAGTAAATATGCATCTAGCTGTTATTTTTAAAATTGTCTACGAAGGACTTTTTTTTTACCAAATCATGCCTTTTGATTTCTCGTTCTTTTTCACTCTTCATTCTTGAATGATGGAGTCTTGAGATGAAAGTGCACTGACAAGGTGAGGAAAGCTGGTTCCTGACTAAAACCGGGTTGGCGTTTTGAAGTCTTGTGGAAAAGGTGTTGTAATGAGTATTTTTGACACAATGCTGAAGTCTCTGAGCAGCATAAGAAACGCTGGAGAAGCTAGTAAAAATATGTATTATCCTTGTAGCACTGCACACTAATTGCATTTTTACCCCGGACAAACAAAAGTGTTAATATTTACAGTTTAGTGCAAATTTTCAAGTTGTCTTTTTCGATTTATCTTACAGTATAATCCAATTCGAGCCTCCGTGTTTATTCAGAACATACATTTGTATTCAATACTTAAATATACATTGAGAAAATAAAACGGTTCGACACAACATAATTCATATCCAGAAGCTCAAATGGTTTCTTTCTTCTTGCATACATTTTTTATTCATACAGTAGTTATTGGTAGACTGACAAAGGCAAGGATGCCCAATTTCAAATTGAAGATAATACATTTAGCTATGATTTAATAAACAAAAGGTATAAAAATGAAGGTGCTGCAGCTACTTGCTCTATTAAATTGAACGTATAAACATTGTTACATATAATCTGTTTGCGGAGTATATCTCTCCTTTTTGTTCTAAAACTGTCATTATATGGTCACGCTTTTCACTTCGGTTTAGTATTGTATTGTTAGTTTGTCCGTTGTGACATTCCGCTGACATCTATCACAAAGAAAAACAAATACACCTTTTCATACCCCCACCCTCAAAACCCCCCGGAGAAGGGCTTTTTGTTCACTATTGGACAGAAATACAAAGCAAACATTTATTTTGAAGTAGAAGAGACAATCGGAAACATTGCCAACCAATTGAAAAACCCAGACACTTTTTCATTTATTCTTTGTTTTTTCAGTAAATCCCTTGAATGCAGCGTGAAGGAGGTTTGTTAAAATGAGGAGCTACAGACTGGCACCACCATCGTGACTAATGCACCAGACGACATTAGGGACAATTCATTCGTTTTAACATGGAAATGCGACCACAGACACACTGTGCTTTTAAATGTCTTTTTGTAAATGTCATGAGAGAAATACTTCACTGAATAGTTGTATTTTCCCCCTCATTCTTTGCAGAATTCAATATGGGATACAAATTATTAGGGCAGTGCAGACTTTTGTGATTGCACTATTACCAGCACATTTAAATGGCCATTAAATAAATTTGGATTTGGTTCTTGAAGGATACATTTGTTCACATTTATGGATGTTAACTACTTAACGAGTGCCACAACAACATCACTATTTATAACAGATTTATCCAAAACTTGTCTTAAACGTGTCTTAAATTTATAATTTTCATAATTTCATATAATTTTCAACTTCCTTTTGATTTTTATGTGCCAGAATCATAAAAGATGGATCCAACACATTCACACATCTCTTGCTTATTTAGAAACATAAATAATAAACATAATTTATGTCAATCTTTTTATCATTGTATTAAGAGGCACTATTGGTTGGAATTACTGCTCCTTATTTCCACTCTTTAATATTGCATTAGTCGCTGCCACTGTGAGGTATACTTCTCTGTCATTACCGCTTCCTGAACAAGATAACTACACGTTTTATGAAGTACTTCGCTGCAGCCTCTCATTCAGCTCCGCGCAGAACCATCATTTATCAAAATCTAACCATGTTATTACCCGAATCATCAAATTCCTCCTCAGGGACACTACTTAAATTCTGTGTTTACGGTTTCAAATAGAGACGAGTAGAGTATTGAAGTCGAGGAGTACTCCAGGTGGCAGAGTATATGTACAATAATTTTACAAAAAAGACACCTTCCAGTCCAAAAATATTAAACGAGCAGACTTTTGGAAATACGGTTGTTTATACTAGAATTGAAATTAAATATCCATCCACAGTGGAACCAGCTGAAGTGGAATAGTAGCATTGATTAGATTTATTTATTTTATTTTGTTTTTTATTTGGTTGGGACAGTACATGCTAATGAACACATCACTCCGGATTGTAATTTCCATCCATTGTCCCACATTCACTCTCACAAACACACACACTCATTCACCCTGAACTATTGCACATGTTTTTAGTGGTAGGGGAAACCGGAGTATCTGGAGGAAACCTACACAGACATGGGGAGAACATGCAAACTCCACTCAGAAAGGCCCTGTTCGAATCCAGGACCTTCTTGCTGAGAAGCGAGAGTGCTATCCACTCAGCCTATAAATAAATAGACTGTAGTGGTATTGTTTGTCGAGCTGTTGCTTTTACACTTATGAATGTATATGAATTTATATGAAGATGGGAGTCACATTTATAGTCTGTTTATACCATATTTTTGTCATGATAAAGATTTCCTCAAAGACATGCTGAAATACATGAATAGTTTACATTGCTGAAGTCAGTACCGGTAATCTTATTTCATCTCATCTTTTCATTCAGATGTTTTGACTTGTTGATTTTCTTGAGAATCCGTTCTTTGGGTTATATCTGATTTTCATTATCTACATCTGTATTCATTTGTTTCTGAATAAGGAAAAAAACATACCCCAGTTATCACAGAAATGATTTACTATTCAGAACTGGTGGACTTACCTCAGGTTTTTGTCTTGGCACAGAGCTGCAGCAGAATGGCCGGATCGTCACACTGCCCCTAGAGGCGGGAGACGTGCACTCCCTGTTGCCCGAAGAGGACGGGAAGAAACTGTTTGTAGGCATGAAGGACACTCTGCTCTCCACCAACCTGGACGACATCAGCCACGACCCACGCAAGGTCAGAACGCTATTCCAATGTTTCTGGGCCACATGTTGTTTTCAAGTATCTACAAAAACATTCAATTTGAAAAACATGAAGCCAAAAAATATACAGGGTTAGGGTTAGGTTAGGGTTATGCAGGTATTTTTAAAGTCAACCAATGATGAATATTGGTCACCAAAAATGAACCATCAAATACAGTGCTAAAAAACTGTGAAGAAGCCATGGCATAGACTAGGTTTAAGAAGTCATACCTGGATAAGGCAGTAATTTGTCTCATTTAAACTCCATAACCTTGATTGAAGCCCCAGTATAATAACATTTTCAGAAAGAGTTTGAGGATCGGTTGAAATATCCGTCCGACTGATAGAGGACAGATAGAGAGAATAGAGGAAGGTCACACCCTCTGAGTAAACTCACTAATATCCTCTGATACAATCTGAAAGACTGCATCCCATACTTCATTTTACTGGCCTTTTAAACAGTTTAGATGTTTACTCATAGTTTCTGATGTTCCATTTTGGTGCAACTCAAATGTGTTTTTCCCCCAAAATGGATAGTTTGTGTTCTTTCAATTGGCAATGTTTATTTTCTTTTTGTGATAGCTATGCACATAGAGTGGTGTCAAAAACACAACAATGCCTCTATATGTCTCTATTTAGTTTCTGAAGTTTTCTGATTTTCACATCTTTAGGTTTTCCAAATCTGAACAGAAATGGAAGTAAACAGAAAGTTGGAACTATTCTATTGTAGTCGGTCCTGTAAATCCTCAATTCATCATACATGGTCATGAACCACATTTGAAGCATACATGACATTTTTTCCGCTTATTGTGAAGGTTTTAGATAACAGCATCCAATAGAATTGGATAACATTAGAGTTATTTGACCTAGAAGTTAAAATATTCAAGGTATTGCTTCTTCAAATATTTGGCCAATTTGTTCAAGGTTTTACGCTGCAGGGCACAGAACCAGGTCTGTAGCTCTAAGAATCCAAATGGGAGAATGAAAGTCTGTGTTTTCATGATTCATGTTTGCATTTTGGTTACAATCCACCCACAGGAAAACCTTAGTCCTTGTCTGACCATTGTCTAGATCTGAGTTCACATGGATATTCTTGGCTGAAAAGGTGTGTTGTGGTGACTTCTGTTTACTGTAGTCCTGTTTAGGTCTGGGATATCCCTGGGATTGCGCTCCTCCTAAAGTGTGGTTTACTGGGAGATTTCAATCATTCTAAAGGTTCTTGCAAATGGACATTCAAGAATAATCAATAATGTGGATTTATCTATCATCCACATAATAACTAATGATACATTTTTTATGTCTATTCTCTATTTTATATGCACTACTAAACAAAGGAATGCTCTTTAAATTATTCTGCAAATTATTTTGCACTGATCTCATTTTGAGCACCAGAATTACTAAAATTATAATTACTTGTCTGGGTCTGTGGGGAGGTGTCTGTAGCCAGGATGGTGTAACATCTACTGAATGGATTGATCTTAAATGTTGGTGTGTAGATGTGACTCGATAATAGATCAGATTTTGTTTTTCTAGGCTCAGGAGCTCTATTGTCCAATTAATATTCTGAGCCCAATTGTTGAGATTTAAAGTTCCTTAATTTTCAGTTTTTCTGTTGCACATACCATAAGTAGTTTTCCACTGTCCCATTTAACCCTTGACTTGGTCCTGTGTCTGTACCCCACACGCTACTGAGTGTCCAGGACACACATATCGATGTTCGGACCAGTGTTTGGTGAAGCTCACTGGCCCAAATGTGATGCCGCATTGTCCCGGGCCACAGCTGGGGCCATTCCCACCAAAACACGTCAAAACCCATCAGACCAACATGTTTTTATCATGTTTTCATGCTTGAGCTCCTCTGAACTTCGTATGTGGGCCTCCTCAGGGGCACAGGGTGTGGTGCGGAGGACAAAAACATAACTAAAGTTTACAAATGAGTGACTACATGACTGAAGGATTAGGAGAGCGTTATTGGTCTGGCATGTAGACAAATCATCTGGTGGGGTTTCTAAGCACACACAGGCAGATGCTTAGAAATTGGGAAGTTATCCAGGGTTACTTCTGGTCTGGAGTCTTTATTGCTACTGTAAATACCAATGTGGGTTTCTTTCTTTCATGTTTTTTTTTTTTTCTATTTCTGTGATAAACATATGATTCAGCAACATCGTACAAACATTTTGGCAAAATGAAATAAATAAACACCCTGCTGACACTCGTCACGTTGTAGTTTAAAATGAATATGTCTATTTTCAACCAGGAAGTCATTAAACTAATTGATGACGCAATCTCAGTTCAATAGCTCGCGAGTTCCGGTTGTCAAGGCAAAGTGGATACATACAGTACTTCCTTTGCTTATCTACAACAACAGGTTACACAGACTGGCATGCTGAATCAAATCAATATTTAAAGAACAGTGAGTTACGGCCAGATAGGGATCACAAAGGTATGAGGAAAGGTCCTTTTGCCCTTACAACCTGAAGTATTTGTGTGAAAATGTTTTTGTCTCTCATGAACATAAAGGAAGGGTGAAATTGTAAACCTGACATTAGTTTTCCTTAGAATAAGCTTCTATCACTGTGCTACATCCAGATTCCCATACTATCTTTTGAAATCTATATCTTGTTGCTATTGGCAACTTTATATTGAATATTTAACACAGAGGCTGGAAGTTCACCCTAAGGTCACATAGGCCTCTCTCTGTTTCTCTGTCTGTTGCTGTAGCTGCATATTTGCGTTCATTCAAACCTATGTTTCTTTGTTGTGGTTTTCTCTCACAGTAACTAACTCCACTATCCACCCAAGCTTTGGATTCAGAGCCACATGAAACAGCCTGGCGTTGGGAGTAAAGGCTGGACGTGACGAGTTGTTTAGTTTTGTGGCAGTTTGTCTAAGCAGCGTGGCACATACGAGGTTGTGAAATGTCGTGAGAAAAACGCACTACTGCTTATAACGTTTTTATTTAGAATCCACTTCTGGCAGAGCTGACAGTAAAAATGTGTGCAATGAATAGACGGAAGCTTTGAAGTTGCCCAAAAGTAAATATATAAAGCTCCAATTGGTAGATTTGACATATATGAAAATGGGAAGGGCTAGCAAGATGTAGTTAAGGCTTCCTTTGATACTATTGCAACAAGCATAGAAACAAGTTGTGACACTCAATTCAGATTGTACAAGTTGAGACTCAATGCACATGTAGGTGACATTTGACAAACCCATCCACAGAAAACAACTAAAGGCTTCACCCCAGATGGGACTCGAACCCACAATCCCTGGCTTAGGAGGCCAGTGCCTTATCCATTAGGCCACTGGGGCTGTGGTTGAGCATATCTGCTTTCAATGTATATAATTTTCAGTTTGAAAACTTGCTTACATAAACCGTAAATAAAGTAAAGATGTGTGCGTTGAATAGACGAAAGCTTTGAAGTTGTGTGTAACATGATTTTAACTTCACTGGCCCAAAAGTAAATATTTAAAGCTCCAATTGGTAGATTTGACATATATGAAAATTGGAAAGTGCTAGCAAGATGTGGTTAACGCTTCCTTAGATGCTATTGTAACAAGCATAGGAACAAGTCGTGCAGCACTCATTCGAGCAAATCAACAATTATTTTTTATTCAATTTTATTAGTATTTTTTTTTGTACAAGGAGTGACTCAAGTTTTTCAATAACATTGGTGGATTTAAAAATGTGTCTTTTATGTTTCAAAATATGAATATCTTAGATGGGGTGGGAGTGGGGTGAAGGTCATTTGCATAAAGCTTGTGTTTGAAAGAGAACAAAAAACTAAAGCATTAGCCAATCAACTACAAACCACATGGTGCATCGCTGGTTGGTCTTCTCTTGATTCTCTTGACTTGAGCACAGCCTTGTAATTATATCAACACTTTCTCCACTCTCTAATTTTTGTAGGGTTGATTGGCCTTTTGGCTGATTGAACAAAGGCTGGGCGTGGGCAAGAACAAGTGAGAGGGAAATCACTGCACATGAAGGTGACTTGGTGACAAACCAGAACCTGTTCACAGATTTCAACTATAGAAATCACCCCAGATGGGACCTGAACCCATGGCTTAGGGTGCCAGTGCCTAACCCATTAGGCCACTGGGGCTTTAGTTACTGCATGTCCTACGTGCAACAGATAGTTTTCCCTCAATGTATATAATTTTCAGTTTTAAAGCTTGCTCACATTACCATTTTTTGACTAAATATATAGTATCTATGCAAAAGACATAGTTAGAAGGGCACTGTTTTGCCCAATTTAGATTAATATTAGTGAGATATAAGAAGTTCTGAAACTTGTCATTTTCTTCCCCTTTATCTTTCCATTTCTGGGTTGGGGGTGACAAGCAGAGCTGCCACCCAAGTCTCAAAGCATAAGTCCCTCGCTGGTTTTTCAGCGGGGCCCTCAGGCAAAGTGTTAAGTGTCTTGCCCAATGACACAATGACAGCAGACATCAGTGGGAGCAGGTGACATGGGTCGTAAGGGATGGAACCCTCAACCATTTGGTTCAAAGACCAATGCTGTACCAACTGAGCCACTGCCACCCCAATTTTAAAACATATTAAAGTGAAATCCTTATGTGTCAAAGATTATAACTATACTGTACAAAAGCACAATTCCTTCAAGAAACTTTTCCACAATTTCTTTTTATTTTTTATTAGTGCTGATTTTTCGGTATTGAGAAAAAAATATAATATATAGAAATGTGTAAATACATTTCAAATATAAAATTCTTTCTGATGCTCAATTTCCCATGTCACAGTCCCACCTGCTGTACATCCCATAATTCCCCTGTGTGTTCTCGTCTCGGTGGTGGTCCAGATCCCAGTTCTGATCCGGGTCAGGATCCAGCCTGTGGGTTTTAGATAAGGGGCTGCGGGCTCTTATCTTCCCCAGGATCCAGGCTCCTCTCTGGGCTGAACCTCCTGCAGCTGCCGCCTCATCAGGGAACCATTACGGATGAAACTTCCTCCTCCAATCAGGATTAATCACAGCCATTTATGAATCGTTACATATGACTCTAGGCAAAACTAAGAAGTAAGAGATACAGGGACTGAGAACAAGTCTGTCACTGAGGCCTGACATGCTACAAATGTTTGATGATTTGTCAAAAATGTATATAAATTATATGCAGTGTAACTACATTTTAAAATACAATTGTACACATTCATCATCCATTTGGGGTCAATCCCTTGGGACAGCACATTTGAACCAAGAGTAAAGTAAGATTACATCATCTGCAGACTTTATATTTTAATCTTTTTATCCTTTTTTGCACCCTATCTTTTCAGTAAGAAGGTCCTGGGTTCGAGCCTTTCTGAGTGGAGTTTGCATGTTCTTCCAGTGTTTATGTAGGTTTTCTCTGGGTGCTCTTATTTCCCCTTCTACTACAAACATGTGGTACCAACATTGCATTGTGGGTGCTGTACTACAATGACCGCTGATTTATGGCATTGGAAGGATTGGTTCAGTTGAGGAAACAATAGAATGATACTAACCCAGCTTGTCTTAGACTTGTATTTTTAATGTTACAAATGTTAAAACAGCCATTTTGACTACGTTAGCTGTGATTTCAGGTACATTTAGATTTTTAGTTCCTTCACTGGTAATGGTTCACATCAAAAACCAAAATTTCCAGATTAGAAATGTTTAACCTTTCAAACTTTCAATACTTAATATTCCATATCATTGTCATAGACGCAGATTTACTAATACAAGTTTTGTTAAGGGTTTAGAAGAAGCACATGCTAATCTTATCCCAACCCCCTCTCAGTACAAGGACAAATTGGATTGTCATCACTGAAAAAAAAAAATCAGACCTCCAAACTATTGTGACTCACAGAATTTTGCATGGAACTCTATGTTCTTTAATGTGTGTAATGTTGCTTTTGATTATGATGTTAGTTGATTCCAGAGATAACACCGAATCGGTTCTCTGTCCTTAAACCATCATTTTTCTCCCTAAGTGATCTGTATTATCAGATTGAGATGATTTAGTGCCCTGTTGTTGAACTCCTCTTGGCGCAGACTTCTTCTCATCTTCTTATATCCTTTCATTTAAAAACACCTCCTCTTTGTTCATATTAGTCATGCCCCAAACACGCACTACTCTTTCTCACAAAACACATTAAACCAGTTCAAATCTAACGTTGTCTTCTTTCTCTGTTTTATTCAAAGCTTTTTTGGCCCGCAAGCCCAGACCGGGTTCAGGACTGTCTCATGGCCGGAAAAGACCCTGAAGTGAGTTCAAAGTGGAGTAGATCAAATAATGTTATGTATAGAATCTTTAATGAGAGGACTAAACATCTTTGTTGCATATAACCATAAGCTAACAGCTTCTTTCCACAAGCTGTTATCAGTTTAAACAGAGCACTTTATATTATCTTGTCTTTGTATTAATACTGTTTTACAGAGACACTTGCTCCCTGTTTTTCTTGTTTTTTTCTGTACTTTTGACCTTGTTTATTTACGTTCTTGTCTTGTGCACACTGGGGGGACTATCCCAATGTGGTTTTATTGCAAATGGAAAATAGATGAATGAAATAAATAAATGAATCTGAATATGAATCATTAAACGTCTGTCCAGTGTACTTCTGGACAGTTTTGAAACGTATACTAAAGATTAGAACAATCCTGGACCAATTAAGGACTACATTGACTTGTTAGTGCTGTTTCCTATTTTAACCAAACAACTTTTCAACAACAAAAACAAAATCCTTTTATTAAAACAAATGTTGATCCATGACATTCAATCAACTGTCTGTGATCCTCGGGCCGGAGTTTTTGCTTTGGCTGTAATCAACAAAAGAAAGGCTTGGTTGTCCCTGGCGGATCGATGGACTAAAAAGGGGGCGTAACCAAAGAGCACAAAACTATTCCAGTTTAACAAAAACTGTGACACTCGTGACTTTTTATTTTTCTTCCTTAAGATTAAAAAAACAAGAACTCTGATAATTATTGTTATTATTTATTCCATATTGTCTTATGTTTGCAGTTTCTTCATATGAATTCTAGATAAAGAATAGTCACGTTATACCAACATTTTATGTTGGTTGACCTGGATACCATAGATCAATTAACCTAAACTAAACGGCCAAAGATTAACTTGTCACAATTGTAATGAATGTGTGTCACTCAACATAAGTATGTAATAAACAAGTAATAAACAAATAAAAGTGTTTTTTAATCTGCAGATGGAGTGTGGAAACTTCCTGCGAGTGCTTCAGCCGTTTAACCAGACTCACCTGTACGTGTGTGGGACGGGAGCCTTTAATCCCAGATGTGCTTATATTCACACTGGACTCTTCCAACAGGTATATTTATACGCACACATAAGTCAACAAAATCACAAGTTTAGGAGTTCCAGAAATAACTGCACACTTAATATTTTATTCTTAACACAAGTTTTAATCAAATCAATTAAAAAAGCAAACTTGGAGGAATTCCACCAAGCCCTTTTAGCAGCGATCAGACGATAATTTCAAGTCCTCATCCTGTTGGTAATGGGCCTTCAGACTGCAGATATGTGCTTATTTGTGTCTACAACTTATTCTTGACAGGTATATTACTTTATTGCTTAGCATATATGCAGGGGTCTCAAACTCAATTTATCAGGGGGTAAGTCTCATGCTTGAGGTCGTTCATTGTACCGCTCTTTAATAATTTGAATATATTTTGCAAGCCTATTTAGTATATTATTCATACGTTTTTAAAATATCTATGCCTGTGTCTCAATGGGGGAATGGCAAAGGCAAACTTAGTATAATAAGATGTAATGTGAATGAGTCTATTGCTTTTCCATGGCAATTTTGCATCACACCATAAATATTAATTCACACCCCATGGAGCTCTCCCTGTAGGAATACATTCTATCTACAGGTGCTAACACCCTATACAGGCACTGCATTTGTTATTATTTAATGTATTGAATATTTATTCCTGTTAGAATGAACCAACAATTTCTCACCAAAACCCTACATTTTCCAGTGCAGTAAGAAAATGCATACAGACGATTTAGGATAATTTCAGACTTGCAAATAATAACGTAAAAGCTGTTTTATGCCTCAGAAAGGGATTCTCAAGGCAGACATTCACTCAGAGACCAACACAGAAATAACACATTTTCTGTGGCTTCAGACTATTTTATTTGACAAAACTATTCTTTTAAACTTTCACCACCCGTCCTTCACCACCTACTGTACGCCTTCGCTGCACATCATACCTGTATCTTGTCCTTATTCTGTTCCATTGATGGGCCATATCTTTGCTGAGCAGCTGCAGCCTCCGTGTGTGGAACCTGCCCATATTCTTTCCTCCTCTGTCCTACTCTCTCCAACATAATACCCTCCTGTCTGCTAATTTGACAGTCGTAATTTGTTCACAAGTGATTTCTGCATGGTACAAAGAGAGGTTTGAGTGATTGCATGAAAGAGAAAATGTATGCAAATTGTGCACACCTCTATAGTGACTTGTAGTAGCAGGCAGTATGGTTAGAAAATGGATCATTAGTTTAGTTCTTTGATTTTTCAAAGATATGATTGTAAATGAGAAACATCTTGGGTCAAGACCTAAAATAACTGACCTCAAGTTCAGCCTTTGAAGTTTAAAGTCATTAAATCAAGTTAATTTTAAATGGGTAACATCATAGAGCTGAACTTTTATGCAATACCTTTTAACCAAATTAGTTTAACCAGATGTCAATAACATACTACAACCTCCCCAGTCTCTTTATTCAATAATACATTATCAAGCCTCTTCATAATTTGTCTTAAAATCATGATTATTTAGAGATGTTATGGTGCTACATGAGGACAATAAAATATATAAATATTCACAATGAATGTTACACTTTTCAAACATGTAAAAATCTAAACATATGTGTAGGTGACTCCTGGTTGAGAGAGAAGAAAAAGAGAGGGCATGTATACTGTATGAGAGGAGGTAATTAAATTTAAAAAAGCAGGTAATTAAATTCAGTTTTTTTCTGGAAGGTTCATTGACAGTGTCCTATGCCTGTGTCGCTATGTTCATGCTGTGATTCTCAGGTTTCTCAATAATATGTCAGGCTTGCTTTCTTCCTCGGTATAATCCAACAAAAGTCAAGGAAAATAATGCAATTTAAAGAGTTCTCCACAAACACTTGGCCATAATAACCGTTAACCACCCCGGCACGGTGGCTGAGTGGATAGCACTCTCGCCTCTCAGCAAGAAGGTCCTGGGTTCGAATCCCGGCCGGACCAGGGCCTTTCTGAGTGGAGTTTGCATGTTCTCCCCGTGTCTGCGTAGGTTTCCTCCGGGTACTCCGGTTTCCCCTACCACTAAAAATATGTACAATAGGTCTGGCATGCGCCTCCTGTTCGGCGACCCCGCTCCCATCTCTGTGTGGAGTGAGAGGACAAGTGCCCAAAAAATAACAAAAACAGCTTTGTGACTCTGGTCTGTGAAAGGCGGTATATAAATAAAGCTTACTTACTTAACCCTGACCAAGGAGGCTGGAACATTTAGCTGATCTGTGAAGTCGACTAAAAACCGCCAGGACAACCTGTATCCAACCAACCTACTTTTTCAGCAACTGGAGCTAAGATTAGATCGCAATCAAGTGGCCCTTCCTGGTCTAAACTGTCTTTATAATAGTCATATTCTGTTCTCCTGACCACTTTAAACTCATTATACCTTTATAAAGCCTTTATCTACTGAAAGTATTTGCTTTCTGATGTTCTCACATCCATTAAAAAGAGATTTGAAACTTCAGCTTCATCAGCTTTCTTCCTTTCTGCATCTTATGGCTCTCTGCCTTTGCTGCTCTGCAACCGTTGTCAAAAGGTAAACGTTCTTGTATTAGGGATGAAAATGGACTAATGGATTAGGCACTGGACTCATAAAACCGGGATTGTGGGTTCAACTCCTGCCTGGGTGAAGCTTTTAAACCATAGTTAGTTTATTGGATTGTTCATGGAGCAGTGAGGCTTAGGTGTTTTTTACATTCCTCACTTCTTTTTTGTCTTTTTCTCAGTCAGAGCAGCAGGTCCTGTCCTACAGTCAGACTGAGTGTGGCAAAGGAAAGTGTCCATATGACCCTCTTCAGAAGACTGCCAGTGCTATAGTGGGTAAGAAACCAGGTTTAAAGTTTGACTAAACTTGGACTTTAGGTGAACCCGACTTACCCCTGGGTGATAGAATCATTAAATAAACAGCATCTAAACCAATCCTAACTCTTTGTACATTGACTTTTATCATCGACCTCCATACGCCCACAGATGGGGAGCTGTATGCAGGCATCACCTCTGACTTCATGAGCCGAGACTCCGCCTTCTTCCGTTCCCTTGGTAACCGTCGCGTTATCCGCACCGAGCAGTACGACTCCAACTGGCTGCAAGGTACTGTATAAGTACTTCTACCACAGTACCACAAAACTCTGGTTTATTCTCAATATAATAATAATACCTGCTTGTAAAAACACTCTTTTTGTTGTTTTTGATTTGAAGGAAATATTGTCTAGAATGTTTCTCTGCTGTTTATTGCTTTGTACACTTGTTTTTTATAGTCTCCATCTGATGATAGTGGAATTGATTTGTTTTGTGTTCTGTATTTTCAAAATAATCCTTATCATACATGGCCTGATTTTATCAGCAGTTTCTCTGCCCCTCAAGAATCAAAACATGATTTAAACAAACTTGTTCTGCATGATGCTATCCTGATTCAAATCTTTCACTATAAACAACAGTGAAACATTGGTTATTTGGCGCAATAATATTTTGTTGTCAAGACAGTTGAAATAGACATTCTTGATTATTTTCCCACTAAGTTTAAAATCTTTTCTGTATTGTTTTCCTTCAGATGCTCAGTTCATCCGTGTGTCTGCTCTGTCGGAGACTGATAACCCGGAGGATGATAAGGTTTATATGTTCTTCACTGAGCGTGCTCAGGAGTCGGAGGGCTCAGAGGGAAAAGTCATTTACTCCAGAGTCGCCCGTGTCTGCAAGGTAAAACACACAGCAGGATATTGGTCTTATCAAACATGCTGTTATAATGCTAGGATCATTTAGAAAAAAACCTCAGATCATTAAAAAATACCCTCCATGTCGAGGCATTTGTTGGGGATGCCTCCTTTTCCACTTGGAGGAGTCCCCAACAAACTCCCAGGACAGGCTTGAGGGAAGAAGTCTCTATTGGCCTGGGAACGCCACTGGATTCCTGTGGATGAACGGATAAAGCAGAAGAAAATTAACCTATTGGTAGATGGTCGGTAAATGGTATTTTTGGTCAACAAAACAAAATAGAATAATGTTCATAAAGTTGTGTTTCGCCTGGAGCACAGATTATCACAGCAATGTCTCGGAGCTCATCTTGTAAATGGACGTGTGCCCGTATTTAGTTTTGTCTTTATCTGCGTTGTGATGAGATCCACTGTTCCTGTTTACGCTGCTGTCTCCAGTGTGGCTCACTGCTAACACGTGTTCCTCTGCACGTTTCACAAAAATAAAACATATAGATTTGTGATAATGCACGTTTATAGTTGTGGTAGTGACTGAGAACAGCTGATAACTTAAATAACTGATATGTTTTTGTGTTGAACAGAACGACATAGGAGGTCAGAGGAGCTTAGTGAACAAGTGGAGCACATTTCAGAAGTCCAGACTGGTGTGCTCTGTCCCAGGACCAGACGGGCTGCAGACACACTTCAACCAGCTGCGTGAGTCTGAAACATAAATCCACTGTATATCATGTCCTAAACCCAGCATGTGAGAGACACATGTAGAGCACAGCTCACCATTCCATTTTCAGTGTAACTTTGCCCAACTCTGTCTGTTAGATAAGAGTTGAGTGAATTATAAGTTGGATATATCCTAAGTTCACAAAGCTGAATCATTATTTAGATACACTGTGTAATTTTTAGTGCCATCTAGCGTTGAGATCTTATATTGCAGTCCAAGATACTACGGAAGACAGCGCTCCTCAACTCTCAGTCATTCACCAGACTGCCAAGGAAAGAATCCTTTAGTTTGATAAATGAGCGGATCTCTCCAAACGTCTCGGGCACTTGACAGTCACGTGGAGGCGACATGTAAACAAGACCGCGTTCTGAAGCGGCACCCGCTGCACAGACTGTATATATTAGCGGACGTAGTCACGCCTATCTCCGCCGTTCTAACTAATGGGCCAAAAATTGGGCTTTCATGGAGTGATTCAAAAAGGCCGCGGGGGCTGGAAAATGTGAAAAAAACGCATCTGCGCATGCCTCAGCCGGCACGAGCCCCATTCATTTGAACGAGAGACTTCAAAAATTCACAGCGAGTAAACTAGACTGGTTCAAAAAAATTCACTCCCCTCAGCATTGACACACATGTGGAACGGAGATTTGGGCCAAGAGCCAACTTTTGGACCATCCTGTAAATGTGTATTCCAGAGGTAAGAAGATGCTATATGTTAGCATTGGCTAATTCTTATTCCGGGTCCACCCCCATCGGCCGGGGTGGTATTGCAAGCATGTCAGCGCACGTCATTTTGGCCACTTTTGAGCCGGGACCCGCCTCCACTGGTGTTGCCATGGATCTATTATAATATATAGTTTTACAAACACGGTGTGAAGAGAAGAGACGCATGGAGGAATAACGTCTGTGGGAGCTTAAAACTAGGATGATCAAAGAAGCAGGACATATACACAGCCACGGCAGGACATGGCTAAAAGCTCATGTTATTAGCGTTAGCCACAGCACCCTATCTGCATCACTGTCAGAAAACAGAACATTCACTCACGCTGCTGATAAAATATTCTGCCGATTGTTTTGTTTTGGTCAGAACCTCCTGAGACTGTGTTGCAGATTCTGCCTCCTTCTCATTATTGTCAGTGTGAAAACAGTTACGTATTGTTCATGTGTGAGTCTGTGTGCGTGTGGTTTGCGATGCTGACACTTTGCTGCTATGATGCCGGACTTTTGCATAATTATTTTTTGAAAAGATTGTTGTTCGGGTCGTTCTTTTACATAACTGTGGTCCTCCATGGTTCCTTCTTCAAACTTGTGAAGGCATGGTGAAAGCAACGATATCAGTAGCTCATGTGAAACGAAAACGCGATTCTCACATTCTTTTTGACCCTTATCCACCATTGTATTTCACAGAGAGGACTCCTCTATTTATTAATTTATTAAGTGAAATGCTAAGCCTATGAAAACAATTAAAAAGCATGGTGGACGAAAATATTCTTAAAAAATGTTTGATCTGTATTCCATTTAAAAAAAAATATTTTTACTGAATGTGTATGCGCGCAAAGATGAGCAATCCCACAGGTTTAGTGGATCCTTCACTGTTGAAGAGGCTCTGCTGCAATGTTCCTGTGTCTTCATGTTTCCATCAGAATACAAAATTGTTTTTATTTGTTGTATTTGCGCATCGTGTACACATGATTTGTCCACATGTGGCTGCTGAAATATTATCTGAATCTATGTGATATCAGCCTTTGTCTTTGGTAAAGTTGAGGTCAGTCTATGTTTTCATAGAGGTTCATTAGTTGAACACATACACCATGCATTGTAACACACATACTCCCCACTGTATTATAAACGTAATATCACTTTATTATTACCAACAAAACTTTAACATTTGAAAATCTTCAAAATGTTCCAGTACATTACTTTTACAATCTAAACACCAGAATCTGGGTCTTTCATAAAAGCTGCACTAGCCTACTTCCACTTTTAGCTCACGTTTTGGCGTCCCAATCAGAGCTTCACACACTTGAAGAGCTGCCATGAAATAGTCCCACTTACTCAGTCTGCAAGTTCAGTTTGTGGGAGTTTTGTCGAATTATTTTGTGTTTGTTAAAAGCTCAGCGTGTGTTGCCTGGAATCCTGGACTGTTACCGTGGAGATCAACGGCCCGTCCCCGGGAAACAGTAGCCACAGCGACGGAGCATTCCTTCATTCATTCATCCATTCATTCATTCATTAGTCCACGGTCTGTATCATCTAGTGCTGCGTTTGGTGGAGTTTGCTAGTGTGTTGACATCTTTGCTGGGAGATTCTTCATAGTCTAGACTTAATATGTTCATTCATCTGGAACTATTTGTATTAGGCTTGTGCCTCATTGTTCAATAACTGATGGATAAAACATAGTTTGAGCCTCAATATGTACATTTTCTTTGCAAAAGGGATGAGATTTTTATCTTATTTTTATTGTTCTTAATCTATGAGTTTTTAACCTGTAGATGGTTAAATAGGACAACTTTGTTTTATTATTATTATTATCATTATTATCATTCTGCGGTTTATTTTCATAGCTCATGCTTGTTCATGAAATGGACCAAAACAAATGGTTTATTCTAATCAGTGGCATTCATCGTTTATCGTTCATCAAAATTATCATATCAGACCAAATCTGAATCATTGCAGCAACAACTATTTTTATGATATAAATGCTTTGAACATTTCTTTAGATAATAATTAAAATACAATATAATAGTATATTATGAATATAATAAATACAATGCAAATAATAAATATAACCAAACCGCTCCATGCATGTGATTCAACGCCAAGAAAGATGTTCCAGAAAGTATAGAAATAATATTTTGAACCATGATTAATATTATTGATGCTGGTTTTGTTTCATGCAGATCCTATATTGGTCGTAATTTTCAACTTTTACATAGAATACTAATCCTTTTGGAACATTTGTGATTAGCAGGTCAATTATAACTTATTCTGTGTCTAAAACGTAGTGTGTGTGTATACGTTACACAAATTATTTATTCTGAGTCCAATTCTGATGGTAGTTCTTAATTTGTCACACACAATCTTATATCTTCTTTCCGTTAATGCTTTGTGTAACTTTTTGACTAGAATCTATTGTCCATAAATTCCAACTTGGCCGTGCTCTCTTATCATGTCTCAAAGTAAACTCTGCGTTACTCTGTTTGTTTGAACCACACACAGAAACGAAGTGAAAGTAAATATATACTTTACTCTCACACATGCACTCGACCACATGGTGTTTATTTTACATTTCAGGCCCAAACATTCAAAACCAGGCTGCGCTGTTTCAACTCGTCAAGATGTAAACACGATTTCCCAGCATGCTCCTTCATCTGATAAGACTAGGCCAGCTCTGCATCTCTCACACATGTGAAGCCGCAGCGCTTGGGCCGCGCAGAGGAGGCAGGTGAAGAATGCTGTGAATGTGCTGTTTATGCCACGCTCTGCCAAACAGAAACACTACATATCCCTTAAATCACTGGGGCTCGGCTGCTGTAACAGCACAGGCTGAGCATGTGTGTGTCAGGAGGTTTTCTCTCTTCTTTTTAATGATATGTGGTACTTTAAGAGTTTATGCTGCTGGGTCTTGTGAATTATTGTATCAGCCTCAGCGCTAAGCCAAAAAGTGTTTGATAGCATTTTGAGGATACTGCATTTGCTGTAAATGAATAATGGTTATGACTGACTTGTTTGGTTTAGCGTTCGTCGTCATTATTGATGGTAAATTCTTGCTGGTTCATCAAGAATTAGACTGGATGAATGCTTGACCATTGTGAATTCATGTGGATAAATGCAGACAAACTGGTGTAGCCCTTCCCTTATCAATGAGAAATGTTTATTGTCTTCTAGTATTGTCTTCTGCGTCTTGATCCATTGTGATCCTGATATAGAGTGAAATCACATTTTCCACATTGTCTTATCTTATTCAATTCTAATGTTATAATGGTGTCCCTGTCAGACGAATAGGGTTTCAGTGTCAAAATGTTACATGCAGCAAATTGTTACATGCAGCATTGATTCCCAGGTCACTAAGGAGTTTACATGCGTTTTGACGACAATCTGAGTTTAGATAAATCCCCATGGTCCCTGAAGTATGTGATGATTGTTGTAGATATTCCATTATAATACTATCAGGTTCATGCTGTAGTAATAATCAGTAATAATCAGCACGTCCAGATATACATTGTTGTCTCCATGCATCATTGGTGGGTACAATTGCAAATAATGACTAAACCACCCCATCCATCAAGAGAGCTTTGCATTCTGACAATGAGTAATACATGTCCATGTTGTCTTCATTCCTGCCATAGCTCCTTTACCGCAGTTTCTGACTTCATTAAATCTTTCTACAGCAAGTACAGCCTCATGTTTATGGTTCCAGAGACACTTCAGCCTCTCTCTCACTCCACTGTCCGTCTCTGCAGTCACATTCTCTCCGCCCCCCCTCCTCCTGCTGTGTTTTGACCATCGTTCCCACTGTCACAGGACGCAGCGGTTTACAGCTCGTGTGGTGGACGTGTTTGGAGCAATTGTCGAGTTTGAGGTTTAGATAATGTCCGCCCTGTGTCTGAGGGCCGATTTACCACTCTGAAGATACAACAGCACGGCCAATTTAACAGAATCCAGAATGATTTGTCAATGTTTAAGACTTGGGACAGGAAGTATGTGGCGTAAACAGGATGTGACAGAAGAAGAGTTGTTGTTGTATTTTTAAAGGGTAACCTAAAAAATGTGTACTTGGTTGCTTATTTTCTTGGTTAAAGTATTAATGGAAACAGTACTCCTTACATTTTATAAAAGTTGTAAGTGCACAGTATGGGCCCTGATACTTAATATATACTTTTTGGGAGAACGCAAGAAATTATGACAATTTTATAACAGGTTTGAAATATGTACCATAATTTCACTATTTGCCTAATTACTAAACAATGCTGAGTTAAGT